TTGGTAAAAGAATGTCTGTCAATTTATGACTATTACCAGGCATGATCTGATACAGTTACTGACCTAACAAACATTTAATCTAACTTGGACGGGGGTCGGCTCCACAGAGGTCATTATGAGTATAGGTGAGCGTACGGCATTTAGCTGTCATATACGAGGACTGCTCCGTTTGTTTTTCAAAAGAAAAACAATTCTATCGAATAGTGTTTCGTTTGTCTATTTCAAGCAGCCTTCGGTTATGTATGTAGGTATGTACAGTCTGTCTTAAAAGTACCGCGCAAAGTGACGGTGGATCCATCGAGCCTGACTGAAGAAGGGCCTACTAAATTTGGGTCACCGAAGCAATTAACATCCTCGTCCATTTCCTAGGTCAATTGGTCGGTGACTTTCAAATTAAAGCAGGCCCTTTCTCCGTCAGGCTTGGTGGATCCACCGTCACTTTGCGCGGTACTTTTAAGACAGACTGTACTATGTAGCGACTAGCCACTGTACTATGTAGTGTCGCATCGACCCCCCCCCCTGCCAGGGCGAGGATTAACCCTCGCCTGTGTGCGGCGTTTTCCAGCTTCTAATGTGTAGGGGGGAGGGGGTCGGTTGGACCCCCCCCCCTGCCGTTCGGCCCTGCCCTGCCGTTCGGTTTTTCACGAATAATTCGCGCAAAAGGCGACCGATCACAACGAAACTTTCAGTACCATCGATTTGATCAATGTTGCACATATTCTGAAAATTTCATGACCCTGACCCAAATGACCTTTGACCTCTAACCTGTTTCTCGAGACCATGTTTAGCTGGGAACGCGATTCAGCGCATGTCGGCTCACATTATCCGCGCACTTCCAGTCTTTTTTGTGGTTTTAAACGTTCAGACATGTGAAATGATGTTGGTCCCATGCAATATGGTTGGTTTCAAGGTCACGTGAAGGTCAGGTCAAGGTCATTGACCTTTGATGACCACGATTCACTGTTTTGAGTGTTACATGTTTCTAAGGCAGTTCTTTGAGCTTATTGCGAATCTGGCACCTACTTGAACATTTACGAAGTAGTTTTGATGCCTTCGTAACATGTTACGAAGCTGTCAGTGGTGATTGGGACCTACTATGGATAGCCGGCAGGGCGCCTACTGGTTGCCCTGACCTGACCTGACCCGATCTGGCTTAACCCTCGCCGGCCGAGGGGGGGCGGGTGCCGCCCCCCCCCATAGGTTTTTTTTCGGATAGCTCCGAACACGCTGGCGATAGAGAGCTGAAACTTGGCATACCTGACCTTTGATCCAAGCCGGATCTTTTGACACTAACCGCATTTTTGGGTCAGGTCAGATCACTGACCTATGACGTCATAAGTGAACCTCTGCACGGTCTTCAGATGTCGCAACTTCGCAACGCCCTCACTGCCAGAGGAGATGTCACAGGGAAATGAAACTTGCAGGATCTAGTATCCAGTATGAGTCCCACAACTTGTATATCTCGGATTTTTCCTAAAGGTCATATGAGGTCAGGTCATTTTCGTGACCTCACCATTATAAGTCAATGGGGAAACATGAAAACTGCTATTCTGGCGCCGGGAACGATCTCCAACTATCTCAAACACACAGAATCGTGATTTGATACACTCCTTGCAAGGTTAGATGCGTCACTTTTGCAATGTTGACCTTGCGTGACGTCATTTATGACGTCATCAAGGTCATATTAGTTTTTCGTCCATAACTCTTGATCAAATTGAGCTAGCGAGTCGGGAAAGCCACCAATGGATTCAGGAAGGCCTGCCGAATCGAATGCTATGCGACATGACCTCTTTCGACCAACTTCGTGACCTGGGGGTGCTGACCTGACCTTGACCTGAGGTCAACACCCCAAGTTGACCTGACCCGGACAAAAAGTATATCATTCGACGCGCCTGAGCGAGGCGAACACGATACTGCCAAAATCGGCGCTCTGCGGCCGTTTTTTTTTGCGAAGTTATTCACCAAAAACTGAACCGTACCTTGGGGCACTTGACCTGACCTCAGAGGTCACCGGTTGACCTAGGACCTTAAAATCGGGTACCAATCTCTGCGTCTCGTAACGGCGCACACGCTCGTTTTTTCCGCGACGCGCTAGCTCCACCAGGGGCGAAACGGCGAGGGGGGTCGTACCCGCCCCCCCCCCCTCGGCCGGCGCGTATGTAGAAAACCAATAGGTCCGGCGAGGGTTAAATGCATGAAGACATTATCTGTGATCAAAACTAACATGAAATTCGTGATAAGCACCCCGTAAAATCCCATAGCAACCTCACTTTACGAAATTATAACAAGTCCCCATTTTCCCGACTTTTGAGTCATTGACCTGAGGTCAAAACCAATGACCTAGAACCTTGAAACTGGGTATCATATCATCGGCTTCCTCTCGTCACGGGCAACACGCTCGTTTTTTTTTCGGCGAAGCTCTAGCTCAATCAGGGGCCGAACGGCAAGGGAGGGGGTCCAACGGACTCACTATACGTTAGACGCTGGCAAAACACCTATACGAGCGAGGGTTAAATCATCTGTGAACCAACCAGTTTCGAGTGGTTAACCCGCGCCAAGCCGGGGGGGGGGTGTTTGAACACATACACACCCTGCGGTTTTTCGCAGATATTTCAAAAACGGCGGCGCGGAGCGGCCGCCGTTTTTCGCACACCTGTTTGTGCATCGTTTCCGCACATGTTAAAATTTCAGACCCAGGTCGCCTTAGGTCAGGTCACCAGGTCACGCCAAGTGATCTAGCCTCAGAAAAAAAAGAATGCTCGTCATAGCTACACCGACTGATCAATTGCCTTCAAACTTTCAGCGATTGATTAGAGCAACATTAGGTATCTATAAATGTTTATCTCGGAATTTTGATATCGGTGACCTAACGTCAGGTCAATTTTGCGGCCTCTCCGTTATAAGTCAATGGGAGAAAATTGAAAAGCGTCTGTTTTGCACGAACGCTATTCTAGACACTCTCAAACATCGAGATGTAGGTAAAATTGACATACTGAACCGGAAAATGACAACTGTGACCCCTCGTTATGTCTCCGAGGTCATCTCAGGTCACGAACAGAATCTAACAGTTTTTCGCTAATAACTTCTGAAAGAGGCGTACTAGAGCGCTGAAAACGCCTTAGCCCTCGCCCCGTAGGGGGGGGGGGGGGTGAAACGCCCCCTGTCCTTTTCCGTCGATATCTCCTAAACCCACGGGGTGGCGGTGTTCCCCAATAAGTGATCACAAGCAAAAATCGCCAGCGGCAAGAATGTACTACACGGTTCAAGCAAACCTATCTTACTGGACAAAGCCGATCAGTTATTTTTCGATGTAATCAAGTAAATCAAAATGAGTCTCTACTTAAAGACATTCAGAAGTGCTCCCAACTCATCGAATGTTTATAAGAGAATGTGCATTTTTCTTTAAATGCCCACATTGAGCTTCGATTACACTGAAACACCGGAGCACAAATCAGAAGACGCTTACCTTCGTGCGGTTAATAGGAAATAACGTATTTTTACACTTCACATTTCATACTTTCGCCGCCAGATGAGGTGGCGGTGTTTCCCACAGTGGCGGTGTTCCCCCCGCCTCCCCTAAATGCTCAAATGGTTGCTAAATTCGAAATCAGCTCCTAAAACTAGCATAGAAACATGTAAAACTCGAAGAAGGGAACTAAGGTCATCAAAGGTCAGTGACCTGACCTGACTTTCAGGTGACCTTGACACCCACCATAATGCATGGGACCGGTATCATATCACATGGCTGAACGCTTGAAACCGCAAAAAGACTGCAAACGCGCGGTTAATACGAGCCGACATACGCCGGATCGCGATTCCGGCCAAACATGGTCCCGATAAATAGGCCACAGGTCAACGTTCATTTGGGAAAGGGTCATGAAATATTAAGGGTAGGTGTAAAATTGATTGACTCGAGGGTACTGAAAGTTTCATCGGTCCGTTCGATCCCCACCCCTCCCCCAATACGGGCGAGGGTTAAGTCATTCGAATTTCATTTGCAGTTATCAATTTGATTTACGAATTATGTTCCGGCAGCTATTGTCAAAATAAGCAGAATGCAACTCAATGTACCAAGCGCCACTTCGTTCCCCGGCCCGCAGGGAGCGGGGATGTAACTAGTCAGGCACGGCCTTGGCCGTTTCCTCTGGGGCCGCGCCGTCTGCCGAGAGAGGGGAGACCTTGCCCAGTCTGAGGGAGGGGGACGACGGCGCCACCGGGACGCCCCGTCGCTCCGAGACCAGCGCTCACTGTATAAACAAGCAAAAAACGCTGGCCGTGCAAAGCTTGTCTGTGCTTTGACAGAGGAGGCATCTAGCGGAATATTTCGTTAGTACAAAAACTTCTAACAAAGATGTCGCTTGAAGCGCAGTTGAGATTGTAGGTTTTGATCCAACTGAAAATTGACATCTCAAGGACGACGAAATAATAAAAACTTATATGAAATGGTTTTGTATGATGCGTACTTTGATTAATGCCATTAATTTTCCACTGCCTTTTGTGTGAAACAATTTTGTACCTTGCGATTTTGTATGCCACGATTTTGTATGCTGCGCTCTTGTATGTTTTGACTGTCCCCTACCCGGCCTGTTTTGTAGGTTTTGCGCGTTGTATGTTACGATTTTGTATGTTTGGATGATTGTATGATAAGATTTTGTATGCTTTGATATGGAGCCGGGTGAGAATCCGCACGCGTCGGTACTTTTCCGAATCCTGATGAGATGTGCCTGATAATGGCTGCTTAGGTTACGTTATACGAAGAGCGCGTCAAGCATGTGCTGGGAGGATATTATTGCATTCATGGGACAATGCACGCTGGTGGCGTCATCTATAGCAGTCATCATTTGGCACTGAGCCTTGTCAGCTCAAGCCTGTCCAACGCTGGGATCACTGGCTCCGTAACTAGCGCCATCAGGCACCTTGCGACTCAACTCTTGTAGCTATAGTTGCCAAAACACTCTCTAGGTGGCAGAACATGTATAACTCATTCCCACGCCGCCTGGGGGCACAGCTGCGGTGAGTCGGCCGGTGCGGCGGCGGCGGCGGCGGCGGCGGGGCCGCGGGCCGAGTACGGTTAGTATCGCAGCCGGTGGGATCGTAGGTGGGTGCGTGCGGCGCGTGGTGAAGGGGGACACGACGCGCCCGTCAGTGTTGATTGGACCGTCGTGGTAGACAGTGGGCGCGTGTCCTGTGAGAGCAGTGCTGTGTGACTGTGATTGTGATCGGGGTGTTTTGGTGGAGCGGTGGACGACAGACACACGCCAAGGTGACACAGGTGTGCCACGGAGCACGGTGCCGAGATACGCTGCCGCACCGGCCGCGCGCCGACAGAAGTGTGACCTTGACCTGTCTCGGCGGCCAGAACTGAGTCTCGCCTGCGTTCAGTCATCGTACGTGACATGACCTAATCGCCGGTCTCTCCGATAACATGGGCGACTCGAGTGAGCTGAGTTCGGTGCCGGGCCCGGCCGCCGAGCTCCCGGAGGCATGGGAGGAGGATTTGGAGGCGAATATTGCCAAGCATCGCGAGCGTGCCGAGCAGCTGAAGGCGCAGCTCAACAAGGAGAACGCCTACGTCCAGTCGCTGGAGAGGCTTCTGGCCGACGCCAAGAAGAGGAAGGCCAGCCGCGATGAGACGGTGGACTTTGCGGACAGCCCTGTGACGGCCGAGTCGCAGATGACTCTGGACTCTGAGTCGGCTTCGGATAGTGACTCGAGAGACTCTGACCCGGTCTCGCCGACTGAATCGACCGACGGTAAGCCGCCGGCGGAGACTAACAAACCTGGCTTCGTGACGGTAATTTCCGTGACGGCGGCTGTTACAGAGCAGCGTCGTGACGTGGCTCCTTCCGCGCCCGCCGCCGAGGAGTCCCCACAACCGGAACCGGACACAGCCGAGGACAGCGAACTGCCTACTAATGACAAACCCGAGTCAAAGTCACCTGAAGCCCATACGCCTGAAGCTGCAGCACCGGAGTCTGTAGCCTCAGATCCGTCTCCGCCGGAGGCTGACGCCGTGGACGACTCGTCCCTCATCCGTAAGAAGGTGCCGCCCAAGCCTCCGCCCAAGACTTTCCGTCCCCGGCCCCGCTCCTTCCAGCCGGAGCCACCGTCTGTTCCTCGGGTCGCCAAATCTCAGAGCTTCGGCTCCGGACCGGCGCGGCCAGAGTTGATTGTTGAGAAGCCTGAGAGGAAGAGTCACACGGCTCCAGGCGTGCCCAAGTACTGGCGCACGGCATCTCTGGCTGAGGCGCTGGAGGCTGTGGAAGGACCCGAGACACCATCACCGACCACGGAGAAGCCGTCACCAACCACGGAGAGGCCGAGCTTGCTTCAGAAGCTGCGGGAGGATCCTGAGACGTCCGCAGAGCCGCCAGCGCCGGCGGCAGGGGATGGGGTCGACTCTCCACCCTCGGCGTCGGCGGGGGCGGCGGCGCGAGAGGATGACGGCACAGACATTGACGCCGTGCCCGATGACGGGTACGGCAGCAAGGACCGGCCGACCCGTTCGAGCGACCGACGGCAGCGAGTGCCGCGGCGCATCGAGCCGCCCGTGGTGCCCGTGCAAAAGTCGTTCTCGCGCGATAGTATCGGCGTGCAGAAATCACACTCGCGAGAGAGTTTGGACCGCTTTGTGTCGACCAAGGACAATCTGGGCAAGTTCTCGTCTCGTGAGAGCCTCACCAACTTCCCCTCGAGGGAAAACCTGGGCAAGTATGCGTCCAAGGAGAGCCTCAAAGACTCGGGCACATCCAGTCCGAGGAACGCCAGTCCCAAGTTCTTCGAGACGAAGATCAGCAGGTCTGCGTCTCAGAGCTCGTCGGGATCGCTGCCCGCCGCTAGCACACCGCACCGGGATTACATGGAGGGTATTGAGGAGCCGCTGTATGACACGGTAGCTCCCGATCCTGACGGAGATGCTGATGCCGATGCTGATGCTGAACCGGACCTCAGCTCGGCCTCCGAGTATAACGGAGACACGTTCAAGTCTGCCAGCTCTGGCGAGTTAGAGCTGAAGTCGGCTGCCAACGACACGATGCGTTCGGAGATGTCCCTGCGCTCGCAGGTGTCGCAAACGTCGGTGGCGTCGGCGGCGTCTCTGGCGTCGGTGGGCAGCGTCGAGAGCGGCAGGGGCGAGGGCAAGTCAGCGCGCTTCCAGCCGGCCGGCCGGCCGCCCAACTATGTCAACATCGACTTCTTCATCAAGTGAGTACGGAGCTGAATGACATTTCACAATACACACACTGACGGCCGGCGCGCAGTTCGCCCGCAAATGTGCAGTTGCAGTTGTTCCTTCCTCCCCGCATTCCTAACTCAGTGGTCAGTCATCGGCCGGGTTGTGGTGTGGCCCCTGGAGCCCTGCGCTGCAGCCTCCGCCGCCGCGGTCAGCCTCAGTACAGTATAGCGGAGCTGGGTGTAGCGCCGACTGCGTGACCGCGGCCCGTGCATTACAATCGGTCGAGCCACAGCACAACGGGACCGAACCGGACCGAGACGGAGGCCGGACCGTGGGTGGTGGGTGGTGCGTGGCACGCTAGGCATGCCACCGCCCGTCTCGGCACCGAGCGCCCAGCCGCGGCCGCCTCCCCGATCAGAGGTCAACGGTCGGCGACTTTTTGTCCACTCCGATGGGGCGTAGCTCATCCCAAGTCGCGCCCCGTTTTTATAACGTCCCTCATCGACGCCGATCGCGACAGGAGAACGGTTTTAGAGCCGGTTAATTACGCCCAAAGTGTCCCGGTCACGACTGTGAGATCGCGGCGGTGTTCAGTTCTGTATCGGCGGCACGGCGTGAGAAGCGGTCGGTGAGATATTGACGTCACGCATTGCCGTGACCGTGCCAAAACTGACCAGAATGGCCGGCCAGATGACTTTCTCCCGATTTTTGTTGTGGAATCGAGGCATATCGGTTAGCAGATCACTCGACAGTGACAAAAATGATTGCGTTGGGGCGCTGGTGATGTAGAAATGAACCACACGGCGGTCGACTCGGTTTGCAGCAGCGTTGCAGCGCTGCGGTAAAATTCCCCGTGTGTCGCTGCGGCTGCGTCACGGTCGGGATTTCGGAGCTGTGACGGTCCGAGAGCTGGACGGTGCTGCCGAGCTACTGGCTAGTCACCCAGGAAACTGACTGACCAGTCTTGTGTCACACATCCTTCTCCGGTCATAGAGCGGGCTGTCCTGGATCCGTGTCTCAGCTGGAAACGGGACGGTCAGCTGTGTCAGACGTGTCATCAGCTGTGTTAGTCGTGATATCAACTGTGTCGTCATTGGGCTAGCCAAATTGGTTCAAACGCTTCACACGATCGTCTACGCTTCTAGCTATCTGATAGCACAGTTTCCAGTTCCTTTTATGCCTACCGCAATCCCATGTCGCTCGTGTCCCTCACCGTTGGCCGACTTCAGGCACCCCGCTCCTTCTTCACACCCTCTGTCATTCTACGACCTCCGCTCCTACATGCGAGTCTCCCCGCAGTCTCACGCAGCGAGGAAGTGGGGTCGTACGGTCGACCGAACGCCTAGCACCCAGAACCGAGGCCGCTCGCGCTGGGCTGGCCCAAGAAGGCCGCTTTGTCCCGGACACCAGAACGGCCGCGGGCTCTCAGCAGGGTGTGGGTGGACGAGGTCGTAGCGAGGTCGCCCCGACCGCCCCGGCCGCCCCTCTCGGCCACCTGGAGAGTGGGCGTGGCTGGTCGGAATTCCGGCCTGTCAGCGGCAGTTGAATCCGTGAGATTGGTATTCGTGATCCGTGATTTTACGATGCCTCACGGTAGTGAGTAGTCTGTATGCTGTGCGGTATAGTCTCTTGTCGATGCTGGTTTCTGCGAAAATGATATGATGCCTGTTCTCACCGTGATATTTACCAAGCTCTCATAAGCATAATAGCATTGGTGATGGCACATCATCACTAACTGTGACCCACCTACGATCAATCGCTCATTACCACTCGTCTGTCAGCTCGTTTGTCTTTCTGCAACGCTTCTCGACCCATTCCGTGAACAGCCGTCCGCGCGAAGCGCAGACAAACGTCACTGTTCTACGAACACGTTATATTTGCACTCTGATCTCTATCAGTCACTGCCCAGCAGGTAGCTACCAGTGGCGGCGGATTCGATTTTGGCGTGGGGGGGCAAGATCCCAGTCGAGATGATGTCATAGGCGGATCCAGAAAGGCGTTTTCGACACTGTAGGGGACATACCCCCCCCCCCAAAAAAAAATGTCCCAAATCCAAAAACTCCTCGGATTTCGATTCCTTACGGACCTGCTGCTGAACAGTATAAAGCAAAAAATTACTGATGAAAGTTTTATTATTAGGAAACATAAGGTACCTACGTTTTGTCTATTTCGGGCGATGCAGGGGGGGGGGGTATTTGCTTTAAATGCCCGCTCCCTGGATCCGCCAGTGGACTATGTAACGATTTTCGTATTGCTGTATTAGAAAAAAGCTCCAATGGGAAAAAATATGCCATAACCCGATCGCATATCAGATGTTGAAGAACGGTGCCAAACCTTTTGAAGTAGGCGAGCGCTATTCTTCAATGAGGTAACTCCTTACCTCATTGTTCGTTCCTCATTTCCTCTGCTCCTTTTACGTTCGATTTCCGTTTAACGTTCCCTTAAAAAGTATTTCTGAGACAGATATCAACTGAAACCTGCCCATGCCCCAATTAAGCGTGTGTCTATCCGTAACCCGACTGCTCCTCCCGTCTCCGTCGCCACTCGAGATCTCATGTCCCAACGTCGCGCTGCGCTCCGCCATTTAGGCCGCAACTCGAGCGAGTACAAAACCCTTAACCGCTCTGTCCGGGCGGCTTTGCGTCGCGACCGGCGGGTGGAACTACAGAGGGAAATCGGGGAACGGGGCCCCAACAAAGTTTGGCAATGTATCAGGTCGGTGGTTGCCGGTAAGAAGGATGGTCCTGATGTTCAGCCTGACCTATCTGCCAATGACTTAAATTCTTTCTTTGTATCCGTCGGTCCTCGTGTCGCTGCCGAGATCCGAGCCCAAAACGCACCTACCGATTTGAATGTACGTCTTACCCGTGTTGGCGCATGCAGTTTTCAACTTCGAGAAATCACACTTGCCGAGCTTGAGCGGACGATTTTCAGTATGCGTAGCTCGGGTGCTTGCGGTACCGACAGTGTCTGCGTTCGCATGCTGAAAGCCGGATTCCGAGCTATTGGTGGCGTCATCCTGCATATTATCAATACCTGCTTAATTCAATCCGACATCCCCGATTCATGGAAACATTCCATAGTTCACCCTCTGTTCAAATCCGGCAATCCTTCAGACCCCGCAAACTTCCGGCCCATTTCCCTGGTTCCTGTAATCATGAAAGTGGTTGAGCGCATTGTCCATCAGCAGCTCTACATCTACCTCTCTCACAATCACCTGCTGGCATCCTCACAGCACGGCTTCCGCCCCCGGCACTCTACTGAAACCGCGTTGTTGTCCGTCACTGAACGCATCCTGGCCGCCACCGACAGGGGGGAGATCTCAATGCTATGCCTTCTCGACCTTAGTAAATGTTTTGACGTGATAGACCACGAGCTTCTGATGCAAAAACTTATGCTGCACGGTATCGAAATTTCCTGGTTCGCCGCCTATCTTCATGGACACACCCAGAGCGTGTCGTTGAAAAATGGGTCCGGAAGTAGAGTGCTGTCTCGGCCTCTTCCTAATACCATGGGTGTCTTCCAGGGCTCTGCGTTAGGTCCGTTACTTTTCACCATCTTCTCTAACAACCTATCGCTGTACGCGGGTGATGCAGTAGTCTTTCAATATGCCGACGACACCCAAGTATTGGTTAGCGGTCCTGCCAGGGACCTTGGAGTTCTCATCTCGCGCATGGAGGTTTCGCTCGCGTCACTCAACGAATGGTTCTGCGCTAACGCCCTGAAGGTCAACGCCAGTAAAACACAGCTCATTGTCTTCGGCAGTCGTCAAAATTTACGCAAATTGCCAGATTTCAGGGTATCGTTCCGTGACGCAGCGTTGCAGCCGTGCGCGCAGGTGGGGAACCTGGGCGTCACTTTTGACAGTACTCTATCCTGGGACGCTCACGTCTCCGAACTCAGTCGCCGGTGTACGGGACTGTTGATCGGTCTCTCCCATGCGCGCCACAGTCTCCCGGATGGCATCATTAGAACGCTCGTGACAGCACTCGTTATCTCACGCATCCAGTACTGCCTCTCAGTTTATGGCAATGGGTCCCAAAAAAATTTCGATCGTCTCCAAAAAATTTTGAACTTCGCTGCTAGAGTCATTTTCGGTCGCCGTAAATTTGCCCATGTCTCTGACCTGCGAAAAAAGCTCGGGTGGCTGTCCCCGCGTCATATGGCTGATTACCAAACCCTTGTTATCGCCCACAAAGCCATTCAGCGCGGCGAACCCGAGGAATTGGCAACCATGTTCGTCACAAACAGCGCTGTCCGGGAGAGACACTCCAGGCAAGACCACCTCTTTCACCTTCCGCGACCACGGCTGGAAACGGGTAGGCGGCGGTTCGGCTATCGAGCCGCTGCTCTACTCAACAGTCTCCCAACTCAGCTGTCGCAGCTGTCTCCCGCCCGCTTTGCCCGATCTGTTAAAGCCGCGATAGTGGACGGGGCATCAACTGATCGTCGCTGACCAACGGGTTGGTGGGTGGGTGAGTTGTACCTGTGGCACTACGAAAGTGTCTCAGTCCGTGCTTTGACGTGAGTGAATGTGTGAATGCTGTGAATGTTTAGATTAGTAACCGCGGATACGGATTCTGAGCAGTAATCGCCACGCACTTTTAGAATGTGGATCGCTCATGATTGTTCAATACAATACAATACAATACAAAACCAGCTCACAGCGGGAGGAGACCGCTTACCAAACATTCAGAGACAGTCAGTCGCATCTAAACCTATTTGGACAGCGATCCGCCAGAAACCCACCCCAAGGCAGTAGTTCGCCAACTAAGCTCACCGAGACGGGCTGTCTCGATGGGTTTATACAGTAAGCCTACAGCAAGGCTTAACTAAGGCCCAAACGCCCGTCAAGCTGGGAACGGCGGGCTGAGGCTAGGGTGAAGGAACGGTGGACTGGAACGAGGATCCAGAAGCTCTGGGTGGGGCATTTCTTTAGTAGGGCTTTATAGGTGCGCTGACTGCGGTAAGGTCCAAATTATCACACCAAATTTTGCCACGACATCTGCCGGTTCTGGCACTCAAGAAT